ACGATACTTTCTTGTAAAATCCCCGTAATTCACGATAAATTCAAGAAATATTTTATGTAGTTTAATTATCATGTTTCTTCTTGGTCATATCTGTAATAACTCTAGAATATTTTGCTTTCTGTTTCAAGACCGAATATCCCTTTCTTAGGGAATCTTGTAGGAGGATTTGAATCGCAAACTTATACTTGAAGAAAGATAGGCCGACAAGTAAAACTCAGTTCGGAGCCTTTCCTTTGAAAAAAAAAAAATGAAGCAAATAAAAGCTTTGGTAACAAACCCAACATCTTATATTGAGCATTAACATTTTGACATATAGGTACAATGGCAAATAAATATGACATCGTGAAGACTAGCCTGCTAAAATTCAATTAGAATAAAGCTAGCTCCTTAGATCAAGGAAAAGGTCTGCACTTCTTTTGAAAGGCCAAAATCCCACAGATCAATTAGGATTAGACTTCTGGGATTTTGAACATAGAATGTGTATTATTTGAGATGGTTAATTTCATAAACAACCCAACATCAATTAGGGGGTCTTGTGAGATTCTTTCTGTCATTGATATAAATGACAAGTGATAAATTTTGAGATTCTTTCTCTCATTGATATTTTAATTTTTTTTTGTACATAACAAGTAGGAGGTCTTGTGAAGAAAAGTGAAAGTTTAGGGGGTCTTGTGAGATTCTTTCTGTCATTGATATAAATGACAAGTGATAAATTTTGAGATTCTTTCTCTCATTGATATTTTAATTTTTTTTTGTACATAACAAGTAGGAGGTCTTGTGAAGAAAAGTGAAAGTTTAGGGGTCTTGTGAGACAACCAAAAGTTTAGGGAGATTATATGAGATAAAAAAAGTTCAAATGAGTTATGCCAAATAACTCCTAAACTTCAGGGTGTTATGTGAAATTAACCCTATTTAAAAATATGAAGTTTTCTTCCCACTTAAAAGGCCAAAGATCTTTATGATCAAATATACTAATGCATAGAATTGTTCCTTCTAAAAGTTAGAAATGCCGAATATTTTTTGCCAAAAATATTTTGCAACAAGCAAAGATTTTGGAAGACTTTATAGTAAACACTTTTGACATGTTTTTAGTTTGAGAGATTAATGTCAGAAAAATATTCATTTGAACACGCACGTTGTGTGAACGTTTAAATTTGCAAATGAAAAAAAAAAAAACTCATCTTTTCTTTTCGTTTCTCTCTCGAATGAATAGTTTGTTGTCATCTAGAGTGGTTTTAGTTATGCCTCTCTAAGTATTAATCCTTTTAGGATATGTTATTTCTGAGTACGATTTTGTACAAAATATTTATTTGCCTCTCTAAGTATTAATCCTTTTAGGATATGTTATTTCTGAGTACGATTTTGTACAAAATATTTATTTATATTTGATCATGATTTGTCATGTTAAATTTAAGGGCTATTTCGACATTCTCCCTTGAAATTAGTCTTTCCCTTACAATATCCATCCAATATGCTGACCTATACATATAACAGAACCAAAATCAAGGTATTCATGAAAAACCACGCTTGGGTTTGGAGTTGTAATATGAACTCAATGCTATACCCTCTAATTATGTTTTCGATTGTAAACTTGTATTGAAATGTAATTCCATGCAAGCATGAATTACAAATACGTACTTGTAAAATTTCTTAATTAATGAGAAGTTGTATATCCCCATTCTATTTCCTTTTAGCTTGTAAATGATAATTAGCAAAAGTGCACATATAGACAAAATTGTCGGCAATTTAGTGTGTTTTGAAAGAGCTTTTACAAATGATGACAAGTTTAGTCGTTAAAGTGTAGTAATGACGGTTAAAATATTGACATATAAAATACCAGCGAGGGCTATCATCTTGCTATTAATATATTGGGAAACTTGTGTCAAAGTCTCAAAAACAAAAACTTTATGTGTTGCAGTCCTTTTGACTTTTTTCTATGTGTTTTAGGCCTTAAATTGGATATCTATGTTCTGCAACCCTTCTTTAGCAATTGTTACCTGCCAACTAAGCATACAGAGAGAATAAAAAATAAAAACCCTCAAAATTCCCTTATCTCCTTTATTTTTTCATGTGAAGTCTAAAAGCAAGTTGAATTAAACTTAACATGAAAGTCTAATTTCATGTTAAGTTCAATTTAATTCCTTTTAAGTCTAATTTAAATCATGTTATGTCTAATTTAACTTGTTTCAAGTCTAATTTAATTCATGTTAAGCCTAATTCAACTTGTTTTAAGTCTAATTTTATGTTAAGTCTAATTTAATTCATGTTAAGTCTCATTTAATTCCTTTTAAGTGTAATTTAAATCATGTTATGTCTAATTCAACTTGTTTCAAGTATACTTTAATTCATGTTAAGTCTAGTTCAACTTATTTTAAGTCTAATTTAATTCATGTTAAGTCTAATTTAATTTATTTTAAGTATAATTTAAATCATGTTATGTCTAATTCAACTTGTTAATTTCAAGTCTAATGTAATTCATGTTAAGTCTAATTCAACTTTTTTAAGCCTAATTTCATGTTAAGTCCAATTTAATTCATGTTAAGTCTAATTTAATTCCTTTTAAGTCTAATTTAAATCATGTTATGTCTAATTCAACTTGTTTTAAGTCTAATTTTAATTGGACTTAACATAAAATTAGACTTAAAAAAGTTAAATTAGACTTAACATGATTTAAATTAGACTTAAAATGAATTTAACATGATTGAAATTAGACTTAACATATATCAAATTAGACTTAACATGAAATTAGACTTAAAATAAGTTGAAATAGACTTAACATGATTCATGTTAAGTCTAATTCAACTTGTTTTTAGACATAAAATGAGTTGAATTAGATATAACATAATATAAAATAGACTTAAAAGGGGTTAAATTAGATTTAATATGAATCGAATTAGACTTAACTTGAACCAAATTGGACTTAACATGATTTAAATTAAGCTTAACATGAATTGAATTGGACTTAACATGAACTGAATTGGACTTAATATGATTTAAATTGGACTTAACATGAACCGAATTGGACTTAACACGAAACGAATTGGACTTAACATATAATCCATGTTAAGTCTATTTTATTTTATTTTAAGTCTAATTTCATGTTAAGTAACATATAATCCATGTTAAGTCTATTTTATTTTATTTTAAGTCTAATTTCATGTTAAGTCCAATTTAAATTAGACTTAAAATAATTTAAATTTTTTATTTTAAGTCTAATTTCATGTTAAGTCCAATTTAAATTAGACTTAAAATAATTTAAATTAGACTTTACAAGATTTAAATTAGACTTAAAATAAATTAAAGTAGTTTTAACACGAACCAAACTGGACTTAACACGAATCAAACTGGACTTAACATGAACCAAACTCGATTTAACATGAACTAAACTGGATTAAACTTAGACTTAAAAGGAATTAAATTAGATTTATCATAAATCAAATTAGACTTAACATGAAATAAATTTGGACTTAACAAGAAATTAGACTTTTAAAAAGTTGAAATAGACTTAATATGATTCATGTTAAGTCTAATTCAACTTATTTTTAGACTTAAAATAAGTTGAATTAAACATAACATGATTTAAATTAAACTTAAAAGGAATTAATTAGACTTAACATGAATCAAACTAGACTTAATATGAATCAAATTAGACTTAACATAAAATTAGACTTAAATTAGACTTAACATGAATCAAACTAGACTTAATATGAATCAAATTAGACTTAACATAAAATTAGACTTAAAACATGTTAAATTAGACTTAACATGATTTTAATATGAATCAAATTAGACTTAACATAAAATTAGACTTAAAACATGTTAAATTAGACTTAACATGATTTAAATTAAACTTAAAAGAATTAAATTAGACTTAACATGAACCAAACTGGATCTAACATAATAGATCTGGAGAGAACGAAGAGAGAGAGGAGGAAATGATGGTATTTTAGGCTTTTATGTTTGCTTCTCTCTCTTTGTGCTTAGTTGACATGATAATTATATGAAAAAGAGCTGCAACACATGATGTGACATTCTTAGGGCTGAATCACATGGGAAAAAATGGAGGGGCTGCAGCACATGAATGTTTTATTTTTGGGGCATTGACACAATTTTCCATAATTTGTTATTAATGATGGTTATTATTCATCGTCAACATCTATTAACGATGGAGTGAACAACAAATGACATGCTAAAATTAACTTTGACTTTACATTAATGATGGTCATCTTTGTAATCAATATCCTAGAAATTGAATCTTCTTCATTACAAAAAAATAGTAAAGAGACCACTGCATTAATCATAGCCATTGATTTTTATAGCGGGTGGTTATGATTCATTTCTTATCTAACACTCATCATACTTATGAATTGCACTATCTTCATAATTTTACACTCAAGGAAAAACCACAATCACTCACTAAGAAATTCTACGGTTTGTGATATAATAGTGGCCTTTCCACTTTGTTTTTTGGTTAGTAGAGAGGATTTGAATCCAATGATTTATGTTCCATAGTTATTATTTTAGACCAATAATGGACCATAAATACCGTTGTTAAGTTTTAAATAAGGATCACATTTTCTCATTGTTGAAAGTGAGCACTTTTCAACCGTTAATGCCCATTAGCGACATATTTAATTCTTACTATGATGGATTTTTGCATCGCTAATAGACCTCTTTCTTATAGTGTAATTAACCATCAAGTTCGACTAATATCCATAATCCTAATTTAGAAAAGCAAAAAAAAAAAAAAAAGCCTAAATAGGACATTAAACCTATTTTCTTCTCAATCATAAACTATACTAAGGATAACGTATTGAATTCATATTAATTTCGCTTTCATCATATTTAGTACTAAATAACCTTTTCTGATAATTTTCTGGCAGCTTTATATCCTCTACATAATTATAAAAGAGGGAGCCTAGGAGGTTTACAGGAGGGAAAAAAAAGTCCTTCGACTTTTCACTTTTAAATTTATTCTCGAAACTAATATAAAACAAGTAAATTGAAAAAAAAACGGGAGGCGGAAAATCACAGTGGCTTTGTCTCTCTCTCTCTCTCTCACTACCCCCGCACGATCCCAGATCCAAAATCACCTAATCAAAAACCCTAATTATCATCGTCCCCCCCCATTCCTCCCCTTTTCAAAGAATCCAATCCAAAACCCTAGAAGTTTGACCCAGATCCCCTTAATTTATTCTCCGATCGTCGATCGATATGGTCGTCTCCGGCGCTTCCTCCTCTGCTCGCGGCCATGGCATCGATCGGTTCTACAATCCTCCTGCAGTTCGAAGACAGCTCCAGCATGCCTTAGAAGGTGTTGCTTGTGAATGGTCTGGTGATCGACGTGGTGCGTGTGGAAGAGGACGAATCGATTCGTCCTCGAAATTGGCGGTGACCTCGTCTTCTAACTCAAATTCGTCGTCTCTTCCGCCGTCGACGCCGCCGACTCCCGCCGGAAACTTGGACCGGTTTATTGAGTCCACAACGCCGGTGGTTCCGGTTCAGTACCGTCGGAAGGTAAGCTAATTAGAGCTGAAATGGGGGGAAAGTTGGGGCCTTGAAAATTATTTTGGTAAATTTCGTGTTTTTGCTGCACTAGACGAGCGTGAGGAGGTGGAGGAGCTCGGATTATGGGGAATCCTGTCCGTACTTCGATCTCAAAGATCTTTGGGAGTCGTTTAAGGAGTGGAGTGCGTATGGAGCTGGAGTGCCTTTGATTTTGAATGGCAATGACGACGCAATTGTGCAGTATTATGTGCCTTATTTATCTGGGATTCAGCTATATGTGCATCCTTCAAGACATTCCTTAAGATCGAGGTAATTATTTCCTTTGATTTCAGCATTAGTCTGAAATGCAATTTATTTTCATTAAATGCTGAAGTATGATGCCAGTGTTTTAAGTTAGAATTGTTAAAGTTTTGCTTCTTTTTTGATCCAATTGCAAAGCTTGCTTGTATATGGTTTTGGCTAGCTATTGATCATCTTGGGCTTTGCTTGTATCTTTTAAAACGTGTGTTTTCTGTAAGTTCTGCTAGTGTTATGTGTCACGATCTTCAGTATTAGGGTAGAAGATACATTCTATTTTAGCTTGCTGACGATTTATTTTTCTTACTACTAGAGTTGGTTACAGTCAAGCGTCATTCTTATCTGAAAGACTTGGGCATGCTTATGATATTTTCTTAATTACACTCATATTGGGCTAATCCATGTCACGTTTGAACAATGGTTTCCATGGGAGTGCTTCAGTTATGTTAGTGATGCTTCATAGTGCGGGGAGATGGCTTTGCATGATCTCTGTCATGGAAAATATTGATTTAGAGGTTTTGCGTAAATACATCCTTCTTGGGGGAAGGATATGCTAGTCCTTATTGTGCATTACTATGTTCAGCTTTTTTGATTGCTTTAGGAGTTCAGTTTGAACCTGGAAATTTGTTTGTAGTCCTGGAGGAAGCTTTGTGGAGGAGCGAGAAACTTGTTTAATGATCTTAACTCTCAACTGTGTGGAAAAAAATAGGGTGATTACAGAGTCCTAGCATGTACCTTGGTAAATTTCCAAGTAATTAAAATGTTTTGATTGTTGTTCAAGGGGATATTTATCCTAAATCGTTTGTTCATATGTGAACTGGTATGTGAGTAATTAGCTGAAGTTTCTTTTAATATAAAACTTTCAGTGCTAATGAATTTTATGTTTTAGTTCATTGCTTATACGTTACTATATAACTTACTATACACAAGGCAGCAGTAGCAGTTATATTTACCTTTTTTAGTGCTAATGATTCATCTTTTAGTTCATTTCTTATACCTTATTATACAAGGGTGGCACTTATATCCACCTTCTTGAACTTTGAAGCTTGAATGGTGAATATCTGTTCAAATGCTTAAGGGTCTTTGAAAAAAAAACTCATTATTTTTCATAATAATTATGGTTCCTTCTTGTTTTGTTATATAAAATACTATTTCTGCAATAGGAATATAGCTGATGTATTTCGTACAGTACATGATTGCATTATATGTGTTTAGTGTATTTAGCATGTGAAAAGAGTGTAGATTGTGCTAAAAATTGTTTGAAATTGTTCCGTGTTTTCTTACAAGATGAGCTTGACAGAGATTGGGTTTTTTATAGCACTTACACTTGACTGAGATCCGTTGGCTGCATGTCTAAAGATTCATAAACATCCATATCCTGAGAACAGACAGTCTACAAAAATTTAATTTATATTTTTTCTAAATTCTTTGTTGAAACGGCATTTGAAACTACGTAGAAAGGCTAAGATCATTTGGGATCTAAAGGGTCATTTGCTATCCATATTTATGGACGTTGGGATGGTTTAGTGATATAAGATGTCACCCTATTATGCTCCACTGTCTTGACTACTAGAATATTCAAGGGAGATCGTGAGATGTCATGTTATTGCCACTCCGTTCCGTATCAGTTTAGTCTCTACAACTAATGGGCACTGGACAGACATTATATACTGCTTTGTGCGACACCAACATTATGTACTCCATTAATGAATTATTGACTATTGATCTTATTACTATTCATTGACATTTGTAGAGATTTTGGTACATTCATGACATGATGAAGCAATTCTAAGATTTTAGCTTGGAGAATCATAAAATTATGTGCCTTCAAGTGCACCAATTTGGGAAAAGCCATGATTAATTTATTTGCTTCACTCAATGGAGGCGGGGTGCTTGATGGGAGTTACTACTATTTTGCTGAACCTAATATCTTTATACATATATGTATATATATTATTGTGTGTATTGAAGCTAGGTTTTTTAAAGTTTTCGAACGTGATCATATGTAATATCTGAGGCCTCTTGTTTGTTTTACACTTCAATGCAAGGATCATAGGGTGAATGCATGATATTTCACTGGAAGCCAGCAAATGTTAACAAGGCTATATGATGAAAAACAACTTAGTTGATTTGGGCTTCCATGTCTTACGACCTGCAATAGAAGATTGACAAGCGCCTCCAAAACCACCATGGTCCCTTTTCAAGATCTTTGATATGCTAATTTTATAATTGCTTAGGACATGATATGATTTGTTTAAGGTCACTGTTCTAATCTTGTTTGCATTTGACTGAGGTTAGATTAGAATGTTCTCTGTTCTAATTGTCTCAAAGCTAAGTGAAATACTTGATCTGAAGCCAATAAAACTTGTCAGTAAAGCCATATGGCGAAGGGATATTTAGGTAAGTTGGCGTGAATAGGAGATGTCTGGAATCCTTGGAACCACAAAAGATGCTATAAATTTTCAGCTGCAAAGGAATCTTGAATCTCCAGATATGGATTAAAAAGAACTGTCTATAGTCCTCTTTTGTTGAAATCACAGAAAGTAGCTAATCTTTGAGGTTCCATATGACAATGATACAATGGAGGGGATTTTACAAATGATTAACAGACTGCTCACTACTAAAGAGATTCATTAGTTTCAGACTATTGCCTGCTAGTAATCATGTTGGATATTGACTGCCATACTCTGCTTCTAGTGAAGTTTCATGTTGTCGTAAGCACTATCAAAGTGCATCTTGGAGATTTTGTCTTATCTTCAACAGTTATTATCAATGCACTTGTGGTATAGTGCAGATATTTCTTACTTGTTTCATTCATTTTCGAGAAAACTAAGAAGGATAACAAGGAAGTACATCCAGAGCATGCACAAACCCTCGTTTATCCACGCATAATAGTTCAGATGCCTTTAACATTTCTAGATCAGATCCCTCTGTTCATGTTCTGGCCATTGGAGTGTATTGGTTGATCTGTCCCATGTATCCAAGGAGCTGGAAGCCTGGAACACATCAAAGTTTGTGTTGAATTTCCATCTGCAGATTGTATTTAAGTTCAGCATGCCATATTGGTCTCCACTTAATTGCTTTTGCCTCAGTATTTCTTTGCTTCAACAGACCTTATCCCACTCATAGCCTCATCATCATCTTTGAGCTGCTTCAAAGTTTTCCAACCTTGTGGGTATGTTCCCTATAAGTGGGAGACTTGGAGGATAACTTAATTGTGGTGGGGCCAGCGGACACGAGAAAAACAAGTCACAGGAGTTTTGTTTGTTCAGCGGGTAAAAGAGGCCCACCCGCTTATGCATGACTATTAATACCCTAAGGTTTCTTAGGGTTTCCGTGTGCAAGAGTAGGCAGAGGGGAGAAAAACAAGTGCGGGAGAAAAACAAGTGCAGGCGGCTGATTGGGGCGTGAGCAGAGTTTTTTTTTTCTTTTTGGCTTGGGCGGTGTGCAGGCAGCGCAAGGCAGAGGAAAAAGTCGGCTTGCAGAGAAGAAAAATAGCGGCTGCAGCAGAGGAAAAATCCTAGGGTTTTGTGAAGAGAGAAAAAGGCTTTTGAAGGCTGACATTTTCTTGTGAAGAAAAGCAAGGAGCCTATTTGAGGGTTTAGATTGTGAGAGTTGTAAACCCATTGTATTCTTTTTCTCTTTAATAGTAGATCTCCCCCTCCTTGCTCCGTGGACGTAGGCAGTTTGCCGAACCACGTAAAATTGGTTTGTTTGAGTTTGTGGCCATTGTAATAGTTATTAGGATCCCTCGACGCGCAGTCCTAGAGCTGACGAGAGGAAGAGCTAATATCCCACTTTGATGGGATATTAGGCTTTCAGATTCTTGTTTCCTTTGAGAAACAAGAATTCTTATTGATCTTTCTCTCTTATTGTGCACCAGAAATTTTGCCGAAATTTTCGCTGCGCACAACAAGTGGTATCAGAGCCCAGATTCCAGATCTAGGGTTTGGTTGGAGGAGTAGATCAATTTGGAGGCTCGTTTAGGGCTTCGTTGGTGATAAAGGTGGGATCTTTTGGTAAAGACTCTATCTTTTAGTTTTGGATCTATTCTTCGTTCGTTGGTGCGTAAGATGTCGGGGAAAGAAGGTGCTTCGGGTGTCGAGGGTGGTGCTTCTGGCGTGAAGACCATTCAGAGTTTGAATATTCACTCTATGAAGATAGATGTTGAGAAATTTAATGGCACAAACAATTTTGGATTATGGAGATGCGAGGTTTTGGATGCGCTGAACGCGCAGAATTTGGAGGATACATTGGAGTTAGATGGCAAGCCAGATGACGTTGAAGAGAAGGTTTGGAAGAAAATGAATCGAACGGCGTGTGGTGTGATTAGGTCTTGTTTGACTCAAGATCTAAAATATGATGTGATGAATGAGACTTCTGCGAAGAAGATTTGGGAGATTCTCGAAAGCAAGTATTTGACCAAGAGTGTGGAAAATCGCTTGCATTTGAAGAGGAGACTTTATCGTTTCCAGTTGAAGAAGGGAACCTCCATTAGAGATCACATGAACCACTACACAAAGCTTCTTGCGGATTTGGCGAATGTGGATGTCAAGATTGAAGATGAGGACAAGGCGTTGCTGTTGTTGAGTTCCTTGCCCGACGAGGAATATGAGACCTTCGTTCTTACTCTGATTAATGGGAAGGCATCACTTTCGTATAGTGAGGTCACCGCTGCACTTGTGAATTATCAGCTTCGAAAGAAGGATAAGGAGGCTTCGGTTGAGCCGGTAGCGGAGGCGTTGGTCGCAAGAGGGAAGGGTCCAAACCGAAAGAATTGGAAGTCACAGTCTAGAATTGGAAAAGATCAGTGTGCTTGGTGCAAGGAGACTGGTCATTGGAAGAAAGACTGCCCAAAGCTCGACGAATGGATGAAGAATAAGCAGAAGGGAAAAGGGAAGCAACCATCATCAGAAGCAAACATCGTATCGGATGGTAATAATTCTGACTCTTCTATTTATTCGCTTTCTATCAGTCCTACAGATAGCTATTCGGAGGAATCTGAATGGATG